GGACACGAATGGTACCGCGGCAGCCTGGCACTCCTGCAACCCATCGCTCTGCACCCCAGAGCCCTGGCACCCCTACCTCCCAACGTGCCAACATCCTCTGCTTCCCAGCACCCCTGTACCCCACGTGCCAGCACCCATGCCAGCCAGCACCTGCTGCCCCAGCACCTCAGCATCCCTGCAACCCAGTATGCCAACACCTACACACCCGTGCAGCCCAGCACCCCTAAACCCCTGCGCCCCAAATCCCACACACCCGTGCAATCCAGGACCCCAGCATCTCTGCACCCTGGTTTCCAGGCACCCATGCCACCCCAATACCCCTGCCCCCCCTGAAACTCAACAGCCCTGCACCCCAGAGGGTCCCCTGTGCTGCCCTTCACTAGGGCAGGGTGGAAAGGGACACCCCTAGGGCCTCACCTGCACCACCCTCATGTCCAGCCCTGTCTCGGACGAGAGCTGTTCCCGCACGTGCCGGGCAGGCTTGGGGGAGTTTTTGTAGGCATTCTTCAGCGTTTCCAGCTGCTTGGCCGTGATGGTGGTCCGGGGCCGCTTCGCACCCGCCTCGGAATCATCTGCAAGCGAAGGAGTCGGTGCCATCCCAAAACCTCCAGCCCCAGTGGGGAATATCTCCCCAGAACCATCTGGCCCAGAGCCTGCAGCCCGAGCTGCCCACGGGTACCCGGTGACACAGACCAGGGCCACCCTCGGTGTGCTGTGCCCCTCGCAGCCCTCCTGGGGTGCCTACCATTCTGCTTGGCAGTCTCGTAGTCCTCCTTGCAGACCAGCCGCCCGTCCTCCATCAGGTAGAACTCATCCCCCGTGGCCAGCTGCCGGCTGCAGATGATGCAGGCGAAGCAGTGCAGGTGGTAGACAAAGTCCTGGGCTTTGCGGACCACCTGGGTGGGGGGGATGCCCTGCTGGCACGCCGTGCATTTGGTCCCGAAACGCCTGCAAGGAGAAGCAGGAGACCCTGAGCCCCCCGGAGAGGTGGGATCGCCGGGAGGAGATGGGACTGGGACCAGGAGACAGGGCAGAGTTTAAACCAGCAATCAACCTTATTATGCATGACACTTCACACGGCGGGGGTTTATCTTCCTCAGTGTGAGAGACCGGCCTAATGGAGCTGAGGAAGGGTTGATTTTAATGGTTCTTTTAACTAATGCTTATAGGCTGCCTGATTTTCCCCTGCAAGGACAGTACATATTTCATCCACATTAATACCAAATAAATTAATTACGCCGCCCCGCTGGCATGATGAATCCCAGATTAATGCAGAATGATGGGGCTCTTAACGCTGTAACGACAGCCCGACGGGGGCGTCGGGTGGGCTGCTCTGGGGCAGGAGTGGGCACGAGCAAAGCTGCCAGCGAGGCTGCAAGGAGTGTGCAAGGAGCGTGAGAGAAGTGTGGCAGCAGCATGCAAAGGGGGTGGGAGAATGGGACAAGAAGCGTGGAAGGAGCATGCAAGAGTGGTGCAAGGAGTGTGGAAGGTGCATGGAAGAAGTGCACAAGAATGGTGCAAGGAGTGTGGAAGGTGCATGCAATGTGTGCAAGAAATGTGGCAGAAGCACGCAAGAAACATGCAAGAATGGTGCAGAAAGTGTGGAAGGAGTGAATTAACAGTACAAGGGTTGACACGTGCCATGATGTGGTGGCAGAACAAGAGAAAGTCGAAAGTAAGTGGACATTCCTCTGGTGTTTTCAGCAACAAATGCTGAGGGATTGATGCTACAGATCCCCATCCCCATTGGCACCACAAGGGCTCTGCAGGATTTCCCTTGATACCCACAGCATCCCTAAACACCCCATCAGCAGGACAGCAGGAGGCCACAGAGCCATCCTGATGCTGCAGCAGCAGCCCAGGTGACAAAGCTATCAGAATAAATCTGTCCCCTACACCTCAAACAGCTCCATCTGCTTTGAAGGAGGCAGCCTAGGAATACCTAAACCCTTTGGCCCCTGCCCCAAGGCTGTGGGGGCAGGCAGTGGCATTCAGGGGTGCCCAGGGGGTGCAGCCACCCCAGGCACCTCTCACTGTCCCTCAAGGGCTGTAAAATCCCCCTCAAGCCCCGTGGCTACCCATGCCCTCCAGAAAGGCACAGCCACCAGGGATGGGTGGCAGGCACTGGGCAGGAGTAGCACCAGCACAATTTCGGGGTGTTGGAAGCAGAAGGTGAGGAGGAAAAACCTGGTTGTCTCATTATCTGGACTTGTATCCTAAAGGGAGAGTCCCTGGACATCTGCTGGGGAGACCTCAGCTCTCCTGTGGTCAGCTGGGAGGGAAGGTGGAAAAGAGAGGGAGGGAGGGATAGGAGATGGACAGAGGGAGGGAGGGATGAAGGCAGGGATGGAATGGAGGATAAAGGGAGGGATGAAGGGATGGTGGGAATAGAGGGAAGGTGGGAGGTAGGCATGTACAGAGAGAGAGGGATAGGACAGACAGACAATGCTTTTCCACTCCCAAGGCTGAGCTGGTGCCCACACTGCAGTCCCCATCTTCCTTCTGCCCACCCATCCCCTCACACAGAACAATTTAAAAGCCATTCTAACAACTCCTCCAGCATCCCGGGGTGTTTCCACCCCACCCGGGGATAGCCAGACCCAGGATAGAGCCACCCACAGCCGACTTCAAGAGCTGCAATTTGGGGGAGGGAAAAAAAAAGAGAGATAAAAATCAATCTGATCGTTTCCAAAGCAGCTCCTGCATTGCCAACTGCCTCTAGAGCTGGGCTGAAATCCTCGTGTCCTCCACAGGTTCCCTACCCCGAAATCAATGAGCGGTTAAAGAAAGGTGAGGCAAGTGCCCGTGTGAGCACTGAGCTGCTATTGATTGGCACCAAATAATCCAGGCAGGACCTCATCTGAGAAAGTCGCTGATCTTTCAACTCCAATTAACATTGATTACCCACACCTTTTGGGTGACTATTTAAATGACTTGGAGATTAATAGGCTGGAAAATATCAGAAGTGAAGTGTTATTACCCAGGCTGTAGCGGCTGCTTTGGCCGGCGCTGGGAAGGAGAAATTCACACTGCATCTTTGGTCCTGATGGCTGAGGAGGAGGGAGGAGGGATGTGAGAGGCCTGAGAGCTCAGGGATGGGCAGGCAGGGAAAGTCCTGTCAGGGGACTAATCACAGTGGCCATCAGTTGGTTTGGCTGGCTGGTGGCAGGGGGTGACAGGGAGAGCTGGTGCAGACAGGGATGAGCAGGAGATGATGGTGTGGGAGGTGTCCCTGGTCCCTGAAGTGCAGCAGCTGCTTTTTGGTTGAACCCTGTCACCTGCACCCAGGTAGTGAAAGGCACACACTGGCAAGAATTTGATCCTACTCCCTACAGCATCCCTCCACTGCAACACACTGCTGGTGCAACACCCTCTGCCATCCCTTGGGAAAACTCCCGAATTTCACCAGCAGCCAGGGACCAGAGCATCCACAGTGAAAAGTCCATTTTTAATGGGAAGCCGGTTGTCCTGTCTCATGGGAGCAGGGAAACGTCAAGGCTGGAGCATCGCACAACTCACAGGCAGCTGCCAACGCAATCAAATGAGGTTTTCACACTAATGGGAGCAAAATAAAAAAAAATAGGATTAAAAAAATAAAAAGAGGGAGGAAAAAAGGTAAAAGATGAAGGGAGAGAAACTGCATCAGCAAATCGCGATGAGGTGAGTGAAAGACTCGGGAGAACAGGCAGTGTTATCGCTGCCTTGTGCTGGTTTCTCCTGCCCTCTAGCTCCGAGAGGAGCCGAACCGCCGCGGGTTGTCTCCCCTCGGGGGCTGAACACCAGCGGAGCGGAGAAACAGGAGCATCGGGGAGATTTGGGGCTTTCGGGTGGTTAAATCCCATCAACCAACATCCAGCCCGCAGCAGCTGTAAAGCACCAACCTTCCCTTTATTTCCACAACAGCAACAACAACAAAATAAAAAGATGCAGGAAGATTTTGGATAAATTATGCTTAAAAAGAGGCCGTTTGCTTCCCAGGCAGGGAGACGCCGCTCGCGGGGGACTGTGCCCCCGAGAGGTACTCACTCACTTGAAGAAATCCTCCTTGCAGTAGACGCTGCCGGCCCGGGAGAAGCAGCGCTCAGCCAGCTGCATCTGGCAGTCAGCACACTTGAGGCAGGAGCTGTGCCAGTGCCGGTCCAGGACCTTGAGGATGAACTTGTCCAGGATGTGCTGGTTGCAGCCGGCGCACTGGGGGATCTCTGGGCAGGGGGGACAGGGATGGAGAGAAGAGCAGCGTCAGCCACCGCAGCCCCTCGGCCCTGCGCTGCTCCCACCCAGCTGGCAAAAATCCCACCTGGGCACGTGCTGGGGCTTTGAGGGGGGATGAGCTGTCACCCCTCACCTCATCGCTGTCCCAGCACATCCTCCTTTGAAAACTTTTTGCAAAAGCCTCTGCGATAGCAAAGCCCACGGCCCCACTGGCTCCTCTGGACACAGACACGCACGCACACAGTGGGTGTTTTTCCTTTCTGCACCCTGTATTTCAGGCTATGTCCTGCTCCCTGCCACTCCTGCCTGTTTCTCCCTCCCTCTGGATTGGCATCCCCCAACCAGGGACACAGCTCGTTGCTCCCCATGGCCACCCAAGGGCCAGGCTGGGGTGACCCATGGTTCAGCTGTGGGGTCCCAGCAGTCTCCCAGGGCTGCAGGGAATGAACCACCTCCACACCACCCTCAGAGGCTCTTCCAGCACAGGTAAATGTCTCTTCCTCTCTGCGTCCTGAGGACCACGAGCCACCCACGCTGGCCCCTCCAGCAGATGTCCAGTGTCCCTCCCCCTGCAGTGCCACAGCACCAGGTGCCTTTGCATCCCCCCCGTCCAACACTCGATTTTCCTGTGATGGGAACAGCAGGTTTCTGCCTGCTTTCTCCCACCCAGCCAGGGTGTTACAGCCTCCAGTTGCTGGAAACGGCTGGAAAATGTGAGCTCAAGCAAGGCCACGGCAGAGAAGAGCGGCAGTAACCAGGGACAGCAAGTCTAGTCCCATCCAGCCCTCCCTACATCCAGATTCTCACACTTGCTTGGAGACGGTTTTTCCTACTGCAAGACTTATTCCTGACCATCCAGATTCCTACACAACGTCTGCCTATAGGTGCACAGCTTCCATAGACCTGGAGAGCTGGATATTTCTCTCTCCCTGCCCATAGCTAGGAATAACCAGGAGGCACAGTGAGCCTGCAGGAGCAGACTTCCCGGTAAAAGCACATAACGCTGACCTGCACACATGAAAACAGATGGATTTTTTTCGGGAGGGAGGGGGAACGACGGACCCACCACCATACCAAAGAGCAGGAGAGATGGTTTGTACAAGGGCTGCTCCCTCCCCGACCCGGAGCCGCTGGCAGATAATTCCGATGGGGAAAAACGGGTGGTGGTAATAATTTTTTTATGTTGCTCCAAGTGCTGGGGAGGCTTAGGAAGGGCTGAGTTGTCCCCAGCCGGAGTGACACAGCCTGGAGACAAGGGACAAGGGATGGGAAAGGCAGAGGAAGCTGTCCCAGCGCTGCCACCCCCCGTGCCCTGCACTGCCCAGTGATGCCACCCGCTCCGGGTGAGGGGGGGAACAGACACACTGTCCTGGGTGCTACCGGGAGGAGAAAACAGGGAAAAGGAAGTGAGGAAAAGGAAAACTGGGAAAAGATTAAAAAAAAAGAAAAGAAAATTTTTTTTAAAAAAAGGAAAAGATAGAAAAGGAAAAAATACGGGGGAAAAAGGAACAAAGATACAAAAAGGAAAAAATATTAAAAGGAAAAATGTATAAAAGGAAAAAGATAAAAAAGGGGAAAAGGGAAAATGTATAAAAAGGCAAAAGATGAAAAATTTAAAAGGATCAAATAAGAAAAAATATAAAAAGGGGGCAAGATCTTAAAAAAGAAAATTATTAAGGAAAAAGATTTTAAAAGGGAAAATGCTTTTCGAAGTAAAAAATTTGCAAGGAGGGAAAAGATAAAAAGGGAAAGGAAACAGGAAAAGGGGGGAAATAAAGGCGTAAACAAAAATAAAGGGAAAACAAAAAAAGGAGAAACGAAAATGCAGGAGAGAAGAGAGGAAAGGAGTGAAATGAGAGAAAAGGAGGGAAAAGGAAAAGGGTAAAGGGAAAGAAAGAAAGAAAGAAAGAAAGAAAGAAAGAAAGAAAGAAAGAAGTGCACGAGAAAATCATATTGTTACAGCCTCAAAAAACATTATTTCAAAACCCTTTGGGGTACTGACACGTACCTCAGGTGCAGGCAGCACATTTCATCCTCCCCGGGTGAGACACTTACAGTCCCAGTGCCCTGCAGACCACAGTTATTGCTGGCATTTAAGCCTCTGTCGCACCAACAACAGTAGGATAAATTACAAATAAATAAATTTCTACAGCTTTTATAGGTCCTTCTTTTCCTTCCTGCCTTGGGAACACCTGGAAGCTTTTTCCCCCGTCCACCGCCGCTGCTGCAGGTCGCACCAGCCACATTTTCCACGTTGGATTTGTTAAACCCATTTGCGAGCGATGCGAAAGGCGCTGGCACCGGCGCTGGCACCCAGCACGGCATCAGCCCGAGAGCAGGCACCCGGTGCTGTGGCAAAGGAAATCCTTCCCGTTTATTCCACAAACGCGTGGGCACCTTTAGGAAACGTGTTTTTAGAGAAATGGTTATTTATATGCCCACGTGTATGTATTTATATACACACACTCTACATGTATATAAACCCATTCGGAGCTAACAAACACAGCTTATTCTTCCCTAAAAAGCACCAACGCAGCTCAATTTCAACATGCAAACAACCGCAGCCGATATCACAATATCTCTCTTCAAATTTCCAGAGAAAACTATTGTTTGGGGGTTTTTTTTAGCAAGAGAAGCATTTTTTGCTTCCTGTCTCTCCATAGATGTACAGCACGGATCCCATGCCCAGGTCTGTGTGTGCATTGATGTCTGCACATATTGGTGCAAAGCTCGCACCCACTTGGCTGCCTTCCCCTGTGCAAAATAATAATAAAAGTAATAATAAAAGGGGAGCTGCCGGGGTACCAGGAGATGTCCCAGCCAGCCCATTGCTTTGCAGAGAGAAATGATCTTAAATTCAAGCCCTAAGCCCTGCTTTGTGCTTTGCAACGGAGGCAGCTGCCTCGCTGCCTGCAGAAAGCCTGGCGTTTATTACACTCGTTTGAACTAAATTATTCGATAGAACAGGACCAAAGTTAATGGATACAATGGGTATAACAGGAGCTATGTGCTCCTTTGCTGTCTTTGCCCACCAGCATCCCCGGGCTGGCTCTGTGCGCTGCTCTGAGACGCAACAGCCGCGGGATCCCCTCCTTTCTACCCCGGGGAACACCCCAGGGATGCAGCAGCCTCAATACAAACCACTCCCCGGGGAAAGGGGGGTAAGTCGGACGGATCATGCCCTGCCCGGGGTGATGTGCCC